CACAGTGTAGAATCTAAACTAAGTAGCATAGTTACATGGTCAATCCAGGAAATTCCAGAGAAACCAAAGCTTTTTGGTTGTTAAAAGACAGATGTCCAATGTTTACATGCCCAATAAATGGATCCGCACATTTATTCCTATGGCTATTTTATTAAAAATCCAAAATGTTGTGCCCCTGAAATTAACCCAACAAAAAGAAAAAAAATTAGCATTATATGCACATCTCTAAGAATTCCCAGATTGTTTTAACTCAGCTAAAATTCTATTGATTTTTCTTTCTGTAATAAGTCTATAATATTTAATATTAATCTTACGTATTCTTTGCTTGGCCATCCTTGAAGCACATTTGTCCTACTAATGCAGCAGATTGATCACCTAAACACTGAAAAAAAACAAATAATTCCATAATATTTAATAAAAAAAGTTTTTGCATTTATTTATTTAAGTAATCAAATTAGATTTTTTTTAGAGGAATAATTTTGGCTGATTTTCTTTACATATACAGTCAAGAAACATTTAGAAGTTTTTCAAGAGGCAACTAGACTTTCTGGTTTTTCTTTGAAGATGTTTCACTTCACATCCAAGAAGCTTCTTCAGCTTTAATTGGATGGTGGGGAATGGAAGGATTTATACTACTTTCAGACAGATGGTCATTTGCATTCTGCTATCAAATTAAGGTCGCTTGAGGTTTATCTATGTCATCAGCATCACCTGACTGGTGCAAATAGGTGTGAAGCCTTCTTGGAACTGTTGTAAGGACTGTGTTGTAGACTGGAGATAGATGATAGTTGTATCCTTCTCCCTCTGTTGAGAGAGGGGTATTCAATTTTTACTCCTCTTTCAAATCAGCGGACCAGAGAGAGGCAAAACATCTTCAAAGAAAAACCAGAAAGTCCAGTTGCCTCTTGAAAAAGCACTTTTGGGACAAGCATGATCTGCATGACTAAGAATCTCCATAGACAAACATTTAGAACATTGTATTTTATCAGCTTGCAAACGTAATTGTTTAGTGGACATCCAGTTTATATGACAAGATTTTGCATTATGTTCTTAAGGAGTATAATTCTTTCAATTAGCTTTACCCATTTGTGATTATTTCTTATAATCATCAAATAGTATGTATATATATATATATATATATATATATATATATAGCCATTTTTTATGAATTCATGTGTTCCAGACCTATACCTGGAAATGTAACAAAAATAATTACTATACTTTTTTGTCATGCTCTAGGAATGCACATGTTATTTTTTATTTTTTTATTAAATTTACTTTTAATAAAACAAGTTATATCAAATAGATATAGTTGACGACTCTAATACTTGGCAAAAATTATATTAAAATATCTTAGCTTTATTTAGAAAACTCACCCCAGAAATTGGCACACCAGTCAAAGCTCCGGAACTCTGCCAAAAAAGCCATTTTTTAAAAAAAAAATATGCAGCTGTTTTCAACTAGTTTACAAATAAGGAAAATAATGTATAATTAGAATATGACTGCTTATAGCTTGTAAGCAAATTAAAATAAAAAATGTAAAATTGTTAGCAGAAATGCAAATAAATATAATAAATAAATAAATAAATGCAAATAAATAAATAGGGGGAACAGAGAAACCTGTCATCTGACAAGCTAACAAAATAAAAGGCATTTTATGTTCTCCACTGCGTTGGAAATGTCCTTAGAATCCCACATAGCACAATGATGAGGGACACATCTCTCTTCCTTCAAATGTTCTGAAGTATAGTTCCCTGTAGCTTCATTAAGCGTGATAATGAGAAATGCTGGGAAAAAATTGAATCCAGGACTTAGTCCTTGCTTAATGATTGGTTACTTAATGATCACGCAAATGAACAGTTTGGAAAAGAATGCTTTTTCGCACCCATGGTCACATGACCACAATTTTGGTATTTGGCAAATTGTTAACACTTACAACCAGTTGCCAAGCACCCATGATCCCCTGATCACCAATTATAATCTTCTCTGCCATCTTTCCTAGAAAGTCAATGGGGAAACCAGCAGGGAATGTTGCAAGTAAAGGTATCTTCAGGATTTCAGCTCCATTCCTCAGCCTGCCAAAGATTTTCCCCAGGTTCAGGGAGAAAAGGGTTGGGGGCTGCAAAAATGGAGCTAAAATCCTGAACATCACCAGTAAAAAAAAAAAAAAAGCCCAAGTTTGGGTTCTGGGGGGCAAACTTACAGCTATTCTCATTCGTACACTACTCTAGAAATGAAAACAGCTTCAAATCACATTGCTGTATGATAAAAGATTTTTGCCATTGAATCTTAGTGGCATGTTCTTAAGATACTGCAAATCCACAAATGGCATCTAAGAAGCAGCCTGGAGCCTACCCAACTCAAAAGCAGACATCATTTGAGTTCAAATAACCCTTGAGGCTACAGTAAAAAAAGGTAAATACCATGCTTCACAAACAGAGATCAATGCCTATTATTATACAGAAGTGGAAGAATAGGTCTTATATTCAACAGTCATGCTCTGAAACTTCATAAAGCTTTATCCAAGAGCTCGGAGGGTAATACTATTATATTCTTGCAAACAGGCAAAAGTATGGACATTTAGCAAATAGTTACATCACTGAGACAAAAATAGCTTTTCTTTTCAAATATTATATGTGCACATGCACTATCGATAGCAGTGATCAACTTAATGAGCCATGCATAAAATTAGCCAGTGCAATTCCATTCAGGGATATCTTTATTTTTTAAGTTACCACTGATTTTTTAAAAAACTTTCTCTGCTTTAAATACATATTAGCCAGAAACTATACAATCGTTACTCTCATTTTTCTAATCTTTTAAACTAGCACAAAGTGATCAACTGAACTTCAATTGTAATTAAATTTTGAGAAGGAGATTCCATTACAACAAAGAGGGACTTTTCCTGAAGAAATGCACTTTATCTAAGCAAGATGAATGGAGATGTAACTAGTTATATCCTAACAAAATCCTACTCACCAAGGTAGGAGAGATTTTCTATTGTCAGCAAAATAGGTAATGAGAAAGAGAAAGAGACAAACATAATTTCAAAACCTGCTACTTTAACTACCATTAACTGTATGATGGTGCTGAACAAATGATAGGTAAAGCATCCCAGTAGTCATGTGATCAAGAAATGAGTCCTTGGCAGCCCATCTGCATTTATGACAGCAATGATTGCTGATCTTTCCAACAATCTCTGTGTATGGCTACCTTGCACTCTGTCATTGCTGCCTACCCCTACTGTAGCCAGCTGAACTTCACTGATGGCCGATGAGGCAAACATGCTTGAGGCAACTGCTGCAGTGATGGCAGCAGGGATACGTAGCAGCAGTGGAGATGTTATAGAGAGATGGGGGAGTCGAGTGGGATGCTTATTTGCTGAAAGACAGAGCGGACAGTTTTTGCCGATCAGAAGAGTGAGGAAACTGGACTTCGTTTTTCCTTGAAGATATTTTGCTTCTCATTGTCAAAAAAAATAAAGTCCAATTGCCTTTTGAAAAAGCACCTTTGGGACAACCATGACCCAGATGACTGTTAATCTCCACAGGCAGAAGAATGAGGTCTTCACCTAATGACCAAAACTGGGACTACTAGAATTGCTGACACTAAGTCACATGGTATCTCACCTAACAACTGTTTTGTTTAGTGCTGGAAATTCCAATTTCACTTAAGATTGTTAAGCAAAGACTCTTGAACTATTAAAAAAATACACTTACGGAAGACATATATCAAATATTTTTCAATTCAAGCTTCTGGTTTGCTTGTCATCAGAGTCAGAGCGGAATCTGCAATTGTGTGCAATTTCACTTCCAGATAACTTGCTGGAGGTCCCAATTGAGACCATAACCACTCTGGAGGGGTGGTGAAGGAAAGGGCAATCGCCTGGAGGGTTGAGGGGAGCTGCAACTCCCCTCTCTGACAGGAAAAACCCCTTCCAAAGGCAAGCTGTAGTAGTGGTCCTAAAATGGCCACCACGAAGACGAAGAACAGCCCAGGAAACTAAGACTGTAATGGAGCAGAGAAGGAGCAAATGGAGTGTGAACCAGGCAAAATACATGGATTTTGAGGTAGCCTGGTATTAAAAAATAAAGGACTATATTGGAGGAAAGTGTGTGGAAGCAGCGACTAGAGAAAGTAAGAAGGAAATTATATTTTATAAAATTGGCTTGAATTATTGTGTTGGATTAACTTGGAGGAAAAAATTTAAAGGAAAATATTTGAACAAAACAAAGGTTTAGAAATTAAACTGGACAACTATTGGATTATTGGCACTTAAAGGGCATAACTAAATGCTGAAATTGAGTGTGTTGAAAAGAAATAATAGCTAATGATTAAAATTATTGAACTTTATAAAAGTACTATATTTAACAAAGAAAGTTAAAGTTAAGGAAGTGGATTGTGGAAAAGACTTAAGAGCGCCATTTGATGGCACAGGAAAAATTTCAGTGACTTTTTAAAAAAGTGCTTGGTCTTTATATGAAATTGGACTTTGGAACTTAAAAGAGAGTAAAAAAAAAACTCAATTAAAAACCCAGGAAAGTGACATTAGAATATTACAAATGGAATTGGGAATTTATAATAAGAATATTACATATTAATTGATGATTAATGATGTATAAGAAAAGAGGGAAATGTTTAAATAAGAACTATTATGGAAAAATTAATATCAGTTGCTATAATTGATTAGATTAATACTTATGTAATGTATAGACGATTTATAAGATGATTAAGAAAATGTAATGCAGAATCTGACAAATATATTTACTATATTTGTGTTATGTAGTAAATAGGGAGACTGGCATTAAGGTAGAATGAAGGTGGCTAGCTTGAATTATTGACCAGAGGGGACAATTTTGAATTAATAAAATAACGATGGTAAAATTGCAAATGTGACAGAAAAAGGTAACATGGGAAATGAACATAGAAATGAGATGATAATTTTAGATACTGTAAAATAAGATATCAGAATATCCTAAGGAAAATGAAATAAGCTAGAACATGAATTGGAATTGGACAAGTTTAATATTTAATATGAATAAGGATAATGTGATATGAAATTGAATAAATAAAATGAATAGGTAACCATGTTCATGTTTGTATTGAGATGTGAAACCAGGAATCATACTGCTTGCCAAATGAGAATTTTTTATTTAAAAAAACAAAACAAAATTGGGGAAGAAATTGAATAATGAAATTTCTAGGTATGTGTAACTGATATGATGTCTGGCATTAGGAGAGAATATTGAAATGTTTAAAATAAGCAATGAAGGATTATGATTTAATGTGAATATGTGTACTAAGAGATATGATTGGTATTAAGTTGGCCTATACTAAAATGTATGATATATTGATGCCACACTGTTAATGTATTTTCATGTATGTGTAGATTGAAATAAAAAAACCCTTGATTTAAAAAAGTATATTTTTAAATGCTAGGGATCCTGTTTGATTAGAATGGATGTACTGTATATATGTTGTGTGTGTGTGTATAACATTTGAAATATTAAGAACTCCATTTGATATTTTAAAAGGCACTAAAGACATAATAGATGGACCTATGTGTGACTGGGGTAAGATTTTAGAGGGAGTTATTTTACTTTAAAAAAAAAATGTGTTACAACTATTTTTTTCTTGGTTACACTATAATACTTGTGTATCTCTCTACTATAAAATACTGAAAACTTGACTTTCAGTTTTCAGCAGTTATGATCAAAAGAGGATCGTCAGAGTAGAGACTGTGTTTTTCCAATTCCTACAACTCTGTGAATAAGACGTGCATTCAATAGTTCCTCCTGCAGCCAAATATTAAGTTTTGGAAGTTTTAGTATGAAAGTTTTAGCTACTTTGTACAACAATTTGTATTAAAGGGATTTTTTAAAAATACCTGCTGTTCCTTTAGAAGCTGAAAATATTATCAAGCAATCACTACTTTTGCTCAGCATTTCAGTTTTGCAAATTATTTTTGCCATCTCCCCAAACACCTTGCAATGAAGTATATGAGATAAGAATGGCTTAAACATTAATTAACTCATTGAAAAATCTATGTTACACGCAATTTCAATGCTTTAAACAGTTAAAAATAACTGTCAAAAAAATAGGCAAATGTCCAACATTTGCATATTAATAGAGCCAAGAATCTGTACTCAACAAAAATAAAAGTTAAAATTCATCTTTAAGCAAGCAAACATTGCTTAATCAAATAAGTGTTATTAGTTTATTGTTATTTCACTTTCAATATAAGTTCAAAAATAAGAACCCATGACATATAAGTTTCAAATAGCTGTAACGATTCATAAAAGAAGATTGGAAACATCTCTACTCTAATTTTGTTATGAGCTTCCCAGACTCATTTGACAAAAAAGATTTTTATTGTGTCATATACTTTTCTGGATTTAACTAATGACACACTATTAATTCATATAATATGACAATCTCACATTTACACTGCAATATTGGAGGTGATATAGCAAACTTTGGAACTGAAAACATACCTTATACTTAGGCAACTCACATAATGCTTACACTTTTTATCAGTATATATAAGTCATTTGGAAGTGATTTAAGTAAACAACAATAGAACACCTAAGTCTTTATGATCTTTTTTTAAAAAAAATAATAGATATATACAATTATTAATTAAAATACATATAAAAAAAGAATACATATATACCACAAAAAGCAGATTAGGAACACAAGTTAAAATAGGGTGGAAAAATGTAAGTGAGCACCTGTCTACCCTAGATGAGTTCAAATCACCAAGACCAGATGGATTGCACCCCAAGGTTCTGAAGGAACTGACAGACGAGATCTCAGAACCACTGAACTGTATCTTTCAAAGATCCTGAAGCACCAGGGAACTTCCAGAGGACTGGAAAAGAGCTGATGTAGTTCCCATCTTCAAAAAAGGAAAAAAATAGACCCAGGAAACAACAGATCTATCAGCCTGACCTCAATACCAGGAAAGATTCTGGAAAAGATAATCAAGCAACAAATCAGCAAACATCTAGAAACAAAGTAATAACTAAAAACCAAAATAGGTTTGTCAAAAACAGATCATACCAGACTAATCTTATTGCTTTCTTTGACAAAGTGACAAAAGTAGTGGACCAGAGGAATGCTGTTGATATAATTTATTTGTAAGGCATTTGATAAAGAAGACCATAAGCTACTATGAGATAAAATAGAAAAATGTGGGTTAGATAGACATTATCACCACCAGATGGACTTGTAACTGGCTGACCAACCGCACTCAATGTGTAATCCTCAATGGAACTGCATCTACATGAAGTATGCAGTGGGGTACTCCAAGGCTTTGTTTTAGGCCCAATACTCTTCAACATCTTCATCAATGATTTGGATGAGGGGACAGATAGGGAACTCATCAAATTTGCAGACAACACCAAGCTAGCAGGAATAGCCAATACTCCAGAAGATAGGCTTAAGATACAGAAGATCTTGAGACTTGAACATTGGGTACTATCTAACAAAATGAAATTCAATGGTGAAAAAAGTAAAGTTCTACATTTAGGCAAGAAAAACAAAATGCACAGGTATAGTATATGTGGTACCTTGCTCAAGTAACTGTGAGGGGGATCTTAGAAGACAATCATTTAAATATGAGTCAGCAGTGTGCTGCAGCTGCCAAAAAAGCCAACACAGTTCTAGGCTGCATAAACAGAGGGATAGAATCAAGATCACATGAAGTGATCTTGATCAAAATAGATTTCTGCCAAAGAGACAAATTAAAGATAATATGAGAGTAATCTTGGACACTTTGGAATACTATGAGGCACATCCTGAAAAACAAATGGCTTTGATATTTCTAAATGCACAGAAGGCATTTGATAATGTGAATTGGTGATTCAGGTTATTACTGCTGGAACAGATGGTCTTTGCTAAAAAATTAATTCAAGCAATAGAAGCTATATATTATAAGCAAACAGCAAAGGTAATGATAGAGGGAGAACTGACAGACTCTATTGACATAAGAAAAGGAACAAGACAAGGGTGCCCACTATCACTTCTGTTGTTTGTGTTAACTTTGGAAGTGCTAAATAGAAATATTAGAGACGAAAAGAATATAAAAGGGATGAAAATTAAAAAGGAAGAATTTAAGTTGCAAGCATTCGCAGATGATCTGGTTTTCATTTTAGAAGACCCACTAGAAACAGCATCAAAATTGATAGGAAAGATAGAGACATATGGAAAGGTGGCTGGTTTGAAAATAAATAAAGATAAGACAAAGATCTTGACAAAGAATATGCTACCAAGACAAAAGGAAGAACTGGCAGACCTATTGAAAATTCAGGTCACGAATAAGATCAAGTACTTGGGGATATACTTGACAGCAAGATGCAATACACTAAAAGAGAACAATTATATCAAACTTAAACAGCAGATAGCGCTAGATTTGGCGAAATGGTAAAATTTACAACTGTCATTAATAGGGAGAATATCAACAATCAAGATGAATATATTACCCAGAATTTTATATTTGTTTCAAACAATTCCAATTAGGCTTGGAAAAGACTACTTTGAAGATTTAAATAAAATTGTGTTGAAATATATATGGCAAGGTAGGAAAGCGAGAATAAAGTTAAAACTTTTGCAAGATGCCAGAATAAGAGGAGGATTTGGTTTGCCTAATTGGGAGTTGTATTACCAAGCTACAAATTTGATGTGGGTTAAGGAATGGATAACATTAAGAAATACTAGATTGTTGACATTAGAAGGACATGATCTGTTGTTGGGGTGCAATGCTTTTCTATGGTATAAAGGAACTCAAACACAGGGGTATTTTAGAAGACATTATATACGGGAGTCTCTGTGGGAAAACTGGGGGAAGGCTAAAAGACAATGTTATTTGAAAATTCCAGTCTGGCTATCGACTATTAAAGCATTTTCTTATCCTATAATATACAAAAAGGAACAAACAGTTAGATATGGTGAAATATTGAATGAAAAGGGTGGACTTAAATCTACACAAAAACTAGAGGAACAAGGTATAAAGATGATTTGGTTTTCATAGGCGCAAATACATTCAAGGTATGATAAAGACTCTAAAACAGAAGGTTTCTATGATAAACTGACTGACTTAGATAAGATTTTGACAGGTACTGATGAAAAGGTGATTAAAAAATTGTATGGATATTTATTAGAAATTAAACTAGAAGAAGAACAAGTTAAAGAAACTATGATTGCTTGGGGGAAGAATTTTGGATATGGGATTGATCTAGAGAAATGGCAAAAACTGTGGTCTCAAAATTATAAAACGATACTGTCAACAGCATATAAAGAAAATTTGTATAAGATGTTTTTACAGGTGGCATTTTCCCCTGACAAGAATAGCAAGAATGTTCAAGAATAAATCTGAAAAATGAATCCAAAAAATGTTGGAAATGTCATCAGACACCTGGCTCATATTACTATATGTGGTGGACATGTGCGGATGCTAAAAAATATTGGACTAAAATCCACACGTGGTTGGAAAAAATGACAAAAAAGCAGATTTGAAACCAGAGATATTTTTATTGGGAATTTTACCTGAAATATATAGTAAAGATTTGAAATACCTGACTGTAAATGTATTAACAGCGGCTAGGATTGTATTTGCTAAAAACTGGAAAAATGTGAAAACACTATCATAGGAGGAAATCATTAAGAAAATATTGGAATGTGCTGAAATGAGTAGATTGACATTTGAAATTAGAGAACAAGATGATAAACAATTTTATAAAATTTGGGATCTATTCTATCAATGGTTAGACAATAAAATACAGTAATGAAATACGTAGACTCTTAGAAAATAAGAAATATATAAAGATGTGTTCTTTTCTTATATCTACAAAATGATTGTAGGATAGATTTGAGATGATAATATGAACTGTCATAAAACAAATTAAGTAAAATATGATTATTTTGTAAAACATGAATGAATAAAAGTATAGTCAAATGATTGATTAATAATGATATTAATGTATTTAATATTTAATTGAAAATATGAGAGTATATACAATGTAATTGTAATTGAAGACTACGAAATGGAAGCACAAAACAATTTGTAAACCAACCGGCACACTGTATGTATATATATGGAAAATGGCTTATGTTTTGTTTGTTTACGTTTGCTTTAAAAATCAATAATATTTTTTTTTTTAATAAAGATCATGTGAAGTGGTAATATCACTTTATAATGCCTTGGTAAGGCCACACTTGGAATACTGCATCCAGTTTTGGTCACCACGATGTAAAAAAAGATGTTGAGACACTAGAAAGAGTGCAGAGAAGAGCAACAAAGATGATTAGGGGACTGGAGGCTAAAACATATTAAGAACGGTTGCTGGAACTGGTATGTCTGATGAAAAGAAGGACTAGGAGTGACATTATAGCAGTCTTCCAATATATCAGGGGCTACCACAAAGAAGAGGGAGTCAAGCTATTCTCCAAAGCACCTAAGGGTAGGACAAGAAGCAATGGTGGAAACTAATCAAGGAGAGAAGCAACCTACAAGTAAGGAGAAATTTTCTGACAGTTAGAATAACTAATCAGTAGAACAACTTGCCTCCAGAGGTTGTGAATGCTCCAACACTGGAAGAAAAGTGTTTAAGAAAAGATTGCGTTAAGTGATGTCTGAAGTGGTGTAGGGTTTCCTGGCTAAGCAGGGGGTTGGACTAAAAGACCTCTAAGGTCCCTTCCAATTATTCTATTCTATTCTATTCTATTCTATTCTATTCTATTCTATTCTA